CCAGACATGGGAGTTGACCATGTTACCCAAGGACAAGAAAATTATTAGTGTCATATGGTTATACAAGATAGTTTTGAAACCATATAGGTCAATTGCTAAGTATAAAGCAAGGTTAGAAGCTCGAGGATTTATGTAGAAATTTGGTTTAGACTACTTTGAAGTGTTTTCTCCTGTAGCTGCACATAAAACAATCAGACTGGTGATTGTTATAACTGCAAATAAGAATTAGCCTCTGATGCATTTATATGTAAAGCTAGCTTTTCGGAATGGTCCTTTACAAGAGGAAGTTTATGTGTCACAACCTCCTAGATTCATGAAAAAGAATCAGGAATGGATGGTGTACAAGTTGCATAAATCTTTGTATGTACCGAAATAAGCTCCAAGAGCTTGGAATCTGAAAATTGATTCATTTTTCATGCTTCAAGAATTCAGAAAGTGTGAGATGGAGTATGGTGTATATGTTCAACATACCTCTGAAGGCAACATGATTCTGGTGTGTCTTTATGTTGATGACATGTTACTGACAGAGAGTTGTATTTCTGAAATGAACAAGTTCAAGAAGGTGTTGATGAATGAATTTGAGATGTCTGAACTTAGAAATATGGTATATTTTCTAGGAATGAAGATTTTTCACTCTGAAAAGGGAATCATTATACACCAAGTGAAGTATGGACTTGAGCTACTGAAGAGATTTGAGCTGATAAATTGTAAGTCAACAATCACACCTGCTAAGACAAATCATATGTTGGATTCTGATTATGATGGTGTGAGTATAAATGCTACAACATTCAAATAGTTAGTTGGATGCCTGAGACATTTGTGTTATACCAGGCCTTGCATCTGTTATGTAGTTGGAATGATGAGTAGGTTTACGAGTAAACTAAAATGGTGACATTACCAAGCTGTAGTTAGAATACTAAAGTATGTGAAAGAAACTCTGAAGTATAGAATTTTGTTTCCATCTAGATGGTCAGATGATATTGAGATGTTATGCTATTTAGACTCTGATGTTATGGAGATAGAGTTGACAAAAGAAACACTACATGATACTTGTTTAAGTATCTGGGAGCTCTCATTTCTTGGTGTTCAAATAAGCAACTAGTTGTTGCTTTATATTAACCTATGAAGCTGAGTATATAATTGGTGCTTTGTTTGTTTGTCAAGTTGTTTGGCTGATGAATTTGTTGAAGGATTTGAAGTTCAAGGTAAGAAAACCACTCAAGATGATGATAGACAACAAATCTTCCACAAGCATTGTAAAGAACCCAGTGTTGCATGGAACAAGAAGCATATAGAGACCAAGTTCCATTTTCTAAGCAATCAAGTTCAGAATGGAATGATTGAAGTTATTCATTGTAGCACTCAGAAGGAACTTACAGATGTGCTGATCAAGGTGATCAAAACTGAACACTTCATCGATTTTAGGAATGAAATTGGTGTTGTTGACTTTTATACTTGAATGTGAATTAAGGGATGGTGTTGAATGTAATTCAACATTCAAGTTAGTTTAGTTTTGAGATTCATTTACTTTCAAATTTGAATTTACATTTAATGTAAATTTGAGTTGAATTTGGGTGTTTATATAAAACCAAATGTATTTGCATTTGTAACAAAATTCAGTTTTTCCATTTTGAGAAAAGTTAGTTAGATTCTCTCTCTCTCTCTCTCTCTCTCTCTCTCTCTCTCTCTCTCTCTCTCTCTCTCTCTCTCTCTCTCTCTCTCTCTCTCTCTCTCATTCTTCATTGTCATCTTCTCAAATCTTATGCTTTATTAACGGAGGTTCATTATTGAACTCCAACAATTATAACATATGTTTTAAAGTTGATAAATTCAATTAAGTGTTGTCAAACATATAAAATGCTAACATGCAGTATCACAGTGTTTTACATGTAGTAACATGTTCTATTCTTTCACCTTTTTATCATAATAGAATTTGAAAGTATACACACAACAACTTGCAAGTTGCAACAGAGACTGAAAAGTCTCAACTTGATATTTATTTGGAGGAGGCAAGTGTCGATTTAACATATCGAAATTTTGAGGACTTGAATGTTCTTCAATGGTGGAATGAGAATTAAAATATATTTAAAGATTTGTCTTTATTTCCTTGTGATTTGTTAGGCATCCCTATTACTAAATGTTGCATCTGAATCTGCTTTCAATATTAGTTCAATCATTCTAAACAAATATAAAAGTCACTTGTTGTCGAAGAATGTAGTGGCATTGGCTTGTATTTGCATTTAGCTTCATAGTTTTAATAATTTTAGTACATAATAAAATATAAAAGTTTCTCTCAATACTTTGTGATTTTTTCAATATTTTGTTAATTTATTTACTTGCATTTAAATTATTTTATAGGTGTAGTGGGTGATGATGAATATAATGATGATGGAAGCTTGACAAAAAATATTACAACAAGAGCATCATTTGTTCATGACGTAGATGAAGATTGATTAGTGAATATGTTATGTTAGTAGAGAATTTGGAGACTTTGGTGTTAGATTAAACTATTTATGACTTCTTTTGTAAATTTTGTTGAATTTACGATGTTGAACTTTTGTTGAATTTGTGGTGTTGAATTTATGTTGAATTTGTTATATTTTATGTTTGTTGAATTTGTTATATTTTATGTTTGTTGAATTTAATTATTGGATGTAGGATAATTATAGTGTTTATTTTTATGCATTACAAATGTGTTTTCACATGTATTATTTAATAATGATGCATTTTTTATTATCTAATATTAGATTTTAGTAATATTAGAATTTATGAGTTTTTTTTATATATTATATCATGAGTGAAAAAAATGTTTTTTTAAAAAGATAGTAGCAGGCTTGCCTGCATGTTCGCATGTTCGTCCTTAAAACGGGCAAACCTAGTAAATGAGCCCACATCTCCAACTTTGATCGTCCCTCCCCGCTCCTTTTTTTTACGGGTTTTTACGGGGCAGACTTAAATGGGGTGGACATGCCCCGTTTGTCACCCCTAAGTACCTGTACTCAATTATTGTGGATGAAACAAATGTTAAAAGAGTACAATGTCAAACAAGATGTTATGACATTAAACTGTGACAACATGAGTGCGATAAATATCTCCAAGAATTTTGTTTAATACAATCTCACTAAGAACATTGACATATGTCATCATTTTATTAGAGAGCTGATCGAAGAAAAAGTTATCATTCTGGATCATGTTGCAACAGGAAACTAACTTGCTAACATTTTTACCAAGGCTTTGGATGCTTCTCAATTTGAAAAATTAAGAAATGCCATAGGTCTATGCATTATTGAAAATCTCTAGCAATTAATGATGAGATGACATGGGAACTATTGTGCCTCATTTTTCTCTCTCATAGCCATCATGACTAAGGCACATGTGCCCCCTTTTGTCCTAACCATTGGTATTCCAAATTCGGTTGGTATTCAAATTACTATACACTTTTACATTACGCCCCTCAAGTGTTACAAAAGCTTTTTCATTCTCTCTGATCATCTCCCACCTCACTCCTATTTAAATCTAAGTTCATCCTTTCACATTCCTCCCAAAAGTCCTACAATCATAGTTAGAACTAGGAATGGAACCAACACTTCTGGAAAAGATAAGAAATCCACACAAAAATTCAAGAAACCTACAAAGGAAACCAAACATGTAATCAACATGCACAGAGTCAAAATGGAAGGGTTATTCTAGGAGGGAAGGTCAATGGTTCGGCCGGAGGTCCTTCATCTAAGAAACCATCTAAAGAGGTCAAAAAAGAAGAAGCTGAGGAAGACAAGTGATTTATCTTCAAAGGTTCCATTATCTATGATCGATCTCACTGGAAAAGGAAATGATGATGAGAAGAAAACCTATGAAGTCAATGATGTTTATGAAAATCGAGTTGAATTTGCGGATCAACCTGCCAAAGAAGTTCTTGACGATGCACCAATTCAAATGATTGTATCAGTCGATATTCAAGGCAATATTTCTAAAACAAATCTTTCTAAAACAACTATTGATAATGTGGTTAATAATGTGTCGGATATTATTGCACATCATAGAATAAAAACATGACATCATATATATTATATTCAAATTATAAAAACATTTTTTTAAAAAATATTAAAATTTTATTGAAAATAATTTTGAAATTTAATAAAATTGAAATAATAAAATAATTTTATATAACTTTTATATATTATTATTCAATTTATTATTACAATTAATTTTTTTTAGTTTGTATAATTTATTCAAAATAAATTTTCTATTTTTAAATTAAACTCAAAATTTTTTTTTCAATACAAAATAATTATAATTTTTATTTTATATTATCTCTATCTCTGTTCCTATTTATAAAAAAATCATTTTTTCACTCATTTAGTAATGATTTATATTTTATCCAGATATATTATTTATTTAATGCATTTAAAAAGCAAAATTTTTTTTATAAATAAAATTAAAAGTATAAAATAGTTAAAATGATGGGTAATGCTAATTTATTTTTCTGGTCACATCTTAAAACACCTACAAATAAAAAATTCTTATTAAAAAAACAATAAAATTATTAATAAAAAATTCTTATTAAAAAATTCTCTATTAGACTCTCCCTCTCCCCTATACTTTTTAGTACTAGTAGTTTAAAAAGAGGACAGAATAGGTCATAGACTCGAAGCTCAACTTGCAATGAAGCTCAACTTGCAATGAAGTAGAGTGACAGGCGAAGTGTTTTAGCCTGTGGAGAAAAATTATAAAAAGCTTGCGGTGTAAAAAAGTCCTAACGGAGAATCAACCGTAAACAAGGTGAATATCATCATTTCCTTTCCATCCCACGAATGTTTTTAAGATTGAGGCATTTTGGTGTGATTCAGTATTTATTCTTTGCTTTGATAATGCAGAAAAATAGTTCTAGGGTTACTTTAAGAACATGCTATGCATGCATGCATGATCGATCATATTGTTTTGATACTTGATAGTGTTTTGAAAATGCAGAAAAATATCCTAAGGTTACTGTTGTAGAGACGATGGAGTTTGTTGGTTCTTCAACTCATAAGAAGCACAAAGCAAAAGATGATATAATCAGCAACCTACCGGAATCACTTATAACTCGCATTCTCTCGTTTCTCCCCACAAAAGACGCCGTTCGAACAAGTGTGTTATCTAAAAGATGGATTGAAAAGTGGACATTAATCACCAAGGTGGAATTGGATGATAGCGTGTTCTATTCTTCGGAGAAGAAGAAATCAAGTGAAGAACAGCAATGCTTTATAGACTTTGTCAATAGAGTACTTCTTCTTACCGGAAGTCACAGTGTGGAAAGTTTTTCTCTTGTCATTTGTGACTTTTATGATGTAACTGTTCTAAATACCTTGATCACTTGTGTATTGAAGAAAAGGGTAAAAAAACTTTCTATCTCTTTGCGCGAAGATCTCCTCTTCTCCGCTCTTACATCTCACTACCTTTTCAATCATGCAACTTGTTTAGAAGAATTGCTGCTCAAGACTGATTATTCTACTATCGAAATCCCTCTCTATAAGATTTATGATGTTTTTCTTTTTAAAAGTCTAAAACTACTCAAGCTGTATGGAGTTATATTTACAATTGATAAATCTCAGCATATTATTTTTCCAGTATTGGAAAAGTTTGAGACACATAACTGCTCATGGAGTTATATTAGTGCACACAATGTCACTTTAGAACTAAAAGCACCTCTACTTGAAAGTGTTTACATAACACAAGACTATGAGTCAGTAGTTAGGGAGCCAAGTATCAAATTTTCTGATTCACAACTGAAAGAATTTACTTATATTGGTGAGGAGGGTATGTCACAAGCTATTGTTCTGTCAGATCCATCTTCAGCTCACAATGCTACTGTTAGCATCACTTTGTATGACACTGGTAATGAAGTTCAAGAAACTGAATCATGTGTCTGTCTCCTTCTCAAACAATTTAGCCAAGTGAAGAGGATCAAATTTTACGGATCTGAGGTAAACGTTGAATATGAACTCCTACTATCAAAACTGGATAAGAACTTACCATCAATTTATAGCTCCTACACATACAATTTAAGTAATGTTTAGTCAGTAGTGGCACACTAGTATATTGATTTGATTTCCAAACTTGATTTTACACAGTTTGTTGACACGGACACATACTCAAATCTTGTTAACAAATACACATGAATTTTATTACATTGTTAATGCGGTTCAAATACATAACTAACTATAGTTGATTATGTTTGATAAATATTATGTATTTGAACATCATTAACCATATAACAAAAGATGAACAATGTACAATGTGTGTCTGTTTTTGTATTCCATTTGTTAAAATAAATCAGTCTCCCCTAATGATTGTCACACAGGTTCTGACACGACCAAATTTGGCTATTCTGCCTAAATTTGCAATGTTGAGCTATTTGGAACTTGGCTTTGTTAGTTTTGAAGTTTTGTTGTGCTTAATTCAAAAGACTCCTGTTCTCAATACTCTAGTATTCGAGGTCGGTAATTAGCTTCTTTTTTTATTTATTTATTATACTTTAACCTTTATATCTTGTCTTATTTAGACTTTGTGTGATTACAAATGATTAGGGAATATTGAAATTCAACCATGAGCTTCTTAACTCTGCTGCTGTGCCAGATTGTTTGACATCCACTCTTCAAGTTGTGATATTTGGAGATGTACATGGCTACGAGCATGAGCTTTTATTAGCTAAATATTTAATGGAAAATGGTACAGTGCTTGAGAGGATGAGTTTCTCCTTTGCTAATGCACGGTCGGGTAAATCTAAAGTCATTGAAGAATTTAAGGAGAAGCTGTACTCATTTAAGAAAGGAATCTCTTTTGCCATACTTGAATTTTCCTATGATTATTACTAGTTGGTAGAAACAATGTTTCTTTTGCTTGTTGTATATATAATGCTAAGATGCCTATAAATATGTTTCTTTAGGATACACCATATGATGTTGCTTTCAAGTAATTGTCTACAAATGGTACTGGTGACTGTACTTTTGGCTGTAAGATAGGTTTCTATATGTATTAGTAGCAACTAGCAAGTCTCTATATTTCTGTTCTAGAAAAGAAAAATATAACTAGTGGTGATGTATATGTAAAACATGGATGAAAAGGACCCACAAGTTAACACGTAGTAACACGATTATTTCACATATAGGGACTCGGCTGAGCTCAACAAACAACAAATACAGTAGTCTTCGAACTAATTAGCAACACAAGTTTAACATAATTTAACACATTTCATCTAAATAAGTAGTAGGAACTTTGAGTTTTTCCTCCTAAATGCACAATTTATCATGTTAAACATACTTGTAGTACTAACCTCATTATTATCGGATATTTAAACCTCAAAGGTACAAAGAGAGTGTAAGGAATGAAAAAGATTTGATGAATTAGAATGAAATTAACAAATGATATTGAACAGAAATGAGAATAAAAATTGCTACTTAAATTACACGTGCACAATCACCATAACCACATACTAAAACTGTAGTATCTGTGCTTATGCGACTAGCTAACTCAGGCTGGACCTTGAGATATTTTGTCCTGATAAATGATGCAGCTTTAGTAGCAAGGATCTCCTCCACAAGTGCAATGCAGTATCCTCTAAACCCGACACCGCTGAATCGTGCTCCCAATACACCAAGAGTTCTCAGTAGGACAAGTGCAATGCGGTATCCTCTAAACCCGACACCGCTGAATCGTGCTCCCAATACACCAAGAGTTCTCAGTAGGATCTCATACAGTTGAATCAGTAGTTCAAAACCTTGATAGACACATAATTTCACATAATCATCAATATTCAACATTTAGTATTTACTTTAAGACATTCAAATTATATAAAGGTGAAAAGGTATTCATATGTGACATATATTGTTAGAAGAGTAACTTCAGAAGCTTCTGAGATATTCATGTTTTAACTGATTTCTCAAATTCAAAAATAAGGAGAAATACTACTAGAACCTAATGTCAGAGGTCTTCACTGCATATTCATTTAAAGTTGACATTCACTATATCAAAAAAGACCTTTAGCAACGCTTAAAGACACTGCTAAAGGTAAAGACAACGTTTTTTTAAAGTAAAAAGCGCTGCTATATGCTCCCTTTTAGCAGCACTTTTCCAGAAAAGCGCTATCTTTTCCCCTTTTTAGAAGCGCTCTCTAAAGTATATTTCCTTCATACCTTTAACAACGTTTTTTTTTAATTAAAAGCGCTCTCTATTCCCCCACCATAGCAACGCTTTTTAAAGTGTTTTCTAAAGTGTATTTGCTGAATACATATAGCATCACTTTTCTTAAGAAAAGCGCTGCCTTTTCCTCCCTTTTAGCAACGATTTTTTAAGCGCTCTCTTTTCTACCCCTATAGCAGCGCTTTCAAAAGCGCTCTCTTTTAGCAGCACCTTTCCAGAAAAGCGCTATCTTTTCTCCCCTTTTAGCAGCGTTTTTAGAAGTGCTCTCTAAAGTATATTTCCTTCATACCTTTAGCAGCGCTTTTTTATTAAAAGCGCTCTCTATTCCCCCACCTTAGCAACGCTTTTTAAAGTGCTTTCTAAAGTGTATTTGCTGAATACATATAGCAGCACTTTTCTTAAGAAAAGCGCTGTCTTTTCCTCCCTTTTAGCAGCGATTTTTTAAGCGCTCTCTTTTCTACCCCTATAGCAGCGCTTTCAAAAGCGCTCTCTCCCCCCTCCCCTTTTAGAAGTGCTTTTTCAAGAAAAGCGCTGCCTTTTCTTCACGTTATTGAATTTTTTTTCAAAAAAATCACTTTTTCTTAGCGTTTTTTTTAAAAGCGCTGTCTATTTTGTATATTTTTATGAAGTGATTTTTGTTGAATCCTATTGCACAATTCTTTATAATTTATCACATAAACCTGCTTATAACAATTATATTCACCATAAGCCTTTATTTCAACACTTTGACCTTATATATACCATAACAATTCAACACATAAATCTGCTTATAATCATTGTAATTCAACACAAGCCTTTATTTCAACACTTTGGCCTTATATATACCATAACAATTCAACACATAAATATGCTTATAATCATTGTAATTCAACACAAACCTTTATTTCAATACATATATATATATATATATATATATATATATATATATATATATATATATATATATATATATATATATATATATATATATATATATATATATATATATATATATATATATATATATATATATATATATATATATATATATATATATATATATATATATATATATATATATATATATATATATAAACTCGGGAGAAATCAAAAAATGCAAGGTAATTTGTCTGCTTGGCTAGTCAAACACGGAATAGTTCATAGATCTTTGGGTTTTGATTACCAAGGAATAGAGACTTTACAAATAAAGCCCGAGGATTGGCATTCGATTGCTGTTATTTTATATGTATATGGTTACAATTATCTACGTTCTCAATGTGCCTATGATGTAGCACCAGGAGGACTATTAGCGAGTGTCTATCATCTTACGAGAATAGAGTATAGTCTAGATCAACCCGAAGAGGTATGCATAAAAGTATTTACCCCAAGGCAAAATCCGAGAATTCCTTCTATTTTCTGGGTTTGGAAAAGTGCAGATTTTCAAGAAAGGGAATCTTATGATATGTTAGGAATCTATTATGATAATCATCCGCATCTGAAACGTATTTTAATGCCCGAAAGTTGGATAGGATGGCCTTTGCGTAAAGATTATATCGCCCCTAATTTTTATGAAATACAAGATGCTCACTAAATGCGAAAAATAAGAAAGTAATCTTAACTTCGACAACCCCAAATATTAAAGAAAGAAATATCTGTATGTCCATTGACTTATCGATTAGTCAGAATAATAGAGGTTTCATTCCTCTCTTATTATAAGAGGGATTCATTGAGATTCAAAAATGGGATGGAGCAATACTGATTTCGGACGAGCCAATAGGATGAACTGAAAAAGTTCTGCTTGGTGTTTCAAGCAACTAATTGAAGCATTTGAATATTGTTTCAATTGAAATATTAACAATTGTTATTGCAGCGCAGAAAAAATCAAAACAAACTTGAATCATTCATTTTCATACTTCCTTTTGATCCCTAGAATATACATCCATTCATTCTTCATCTAGAAAGAGCATATCGCCGTACGCCTACATAAATTATGTAGGATGATTAAGACCACTAATAAATATGTATCTATTCCCTTTTTTCAAAAGAAATATGGGAATAGATACTCATACATAATGAGTTGCCAGGAACCAGATTTGAACTGGTGACACGAGGATTTTCAGTCCTCTGCTCTACCGTCTGAGCTATCCCGACCATTCTTGACGCACCATCCGAAATCTAAGAAATTACTTGAGTCTATGTCAAGTAAATCCAAAAAGGGCCAGAATATAGGAGGGAAATTTTTTGGGGATAGAGGGACTTGAACCCTCACGATTTCTAAAGTCGACGGATTTTCCTCTTACTCAAAATTTCATTGATGTCGGTATTGACATGTAGAATGGGACTCTATCTTTATTCTCGTCTGATTAATAAGTTATTCAACTGATCCATCAGATTATGTTGGAGTGACTGATTTGAGCAGAGTCGCCAGCTGTCGCTGTTATACTTGTAATGGGCTACGAATGCCTCCGCCAATTGCTTCCAAGTCTTGATATCAGTTGGCTCCAACCCCATGTACCACTCTAGGGAAGGGCCCGACAGACTATCCTGAAAGAAATGCATTAGCATTCTTTCGTCAGTGGAGTATGCAGACATCTTTCTGTAATAAGCTCGCACATGCACCTTCGGACATGTGTCTCCTTTGTACTTGTCGAACGCAGGCGCTTTGAATTTAATCGGCACCCTCAAGCCAGGCACCAAGCCCATTGTTGCCATGTCCAGTCCCACAGCACTCTGGTTTAGGACTCCCTTCATTTGCTCTTCCAGCATTCTAATCTTTTGAGAATCATCCATCGGCCCTTCAAAACCTCCTCCAGAGAAGGCGTCCTCCTGTTGATCCTCTTGCCACATACCGTTTCCAGCCCCGTACCCATCATATGCATTATTACGTCCAGCTCTGTTCTGATTCATCCCGGGACCTCGGCCTCTATTGCCGTACCCTTGAACACCTCCAGCAGGACCATAAGCCATAAATCCAGTACCATTTCCGTTTCCAAAGCCTCCGTAACCCTGATTGACCATACCATAACCATCTTGTCCAAAGCCTTGAGCATTAAAACCATACTTGCCAGTGTTGTCGAATCCTTGATCGTTGAATCCGAACCCAGTATTGACAAAGCCATTGCCTCCGAGATTATCTCCCACATTGACATCACCCAGCCCAGCATTATGGACAGCAGCATCATTCCCCACTCCGACGTTACCATTCACAGCAGCGGTAGCGTTGTTGACATTAGCAGCAGTCATATTGACCACAGGCGGAGCCACTGGCGTGGGAGTGCCGTCTCCATGAGCAGTATCAACCCGGACAGACTGATGATCTTCGTTACCATGACCAGCGTTGCGAGCCAACAGAGGCTGGACCATGGCCTGCAAATTCTCTTGCCCTTTTGCTATAGCCTCCATGGTCTGCATGAAGAGGGCGAGCTTCTCGCGCACGTCCTGCATTTCGTTCTGAATTTGGTCCATGACTTTCCGACAGTTGGAGCGTGTAGAATAGCGGTGCGGATGTTGATCTGGAATCCTGTTAAGTACCTGGTGTGAAATCTTGAAAACAGCTATGGAATTCGTGGATTTGAAGCTTCTAGGCTTTGGATCTTGATCAATCCTTGATGTACTTGATTCTGTATGCAATGTTGTGATGATTCTTGGCTTGAATTATGCTGTCCACTTGAATTTGTAGTTTTGATGTTCTTGAAAAAGGTGCTCGAAAATGAATCCCAATCACCAAAACTTTGCTTCAATTCTGATCTAGGATGAAGATTGAATAAGATTGAATTGATTTTGATGATGATTTTGTGAAGAAAATGAGGAATTGGAGTGAAACTTCAAAGAGAAAGAATGAGGGAATTTTGTGAAATTCTTGGTGCAAATGAAGCCAACCCTTGATCAATGCACATTTCATGAATATATAGACCTCATATGAACATTCTAGATCCATCTTGCACATTCCCTTGCTTTCCAATTTTGATCCATTTTGGTTATGTTTCTTCAATTACAAGTAACCAAAGATAACTTTCTTTTTTCCTTCTAAACTCAAAAAAGTATTTGAACCATTGTTCTTAGAATTGTTTTTCCATTCAAAATCATATATTGGAAGTCTCCATTTGGACTTGTAAATCTCCCAAACCATTTTTCACTTTGAATTTATTCACTTTATAAGCCATTTTAGTTCATATTTTGACCAATTATGCAACTTCATGCTATGAGCTTCTCCAATAATTTGTGACCTTCTTTCTAGACTTAAAATCCCATTTGGAGCAAGTTTGATGTTGTAAGTTTTTCCATTTGAGGCCTCCTTGTATGAGTTTTGGACATAGGTTAAAATGACCTGTAATTCACAAATGCCCAAAATACCCTTTGCTTGCCAAGACCATAAGTTGAGTTCCACACATCATATGAAGGCATAATATACCATTCTAGAAATCTAAGACAATGAGGAACAATTCTTATGTTGACCAAGAATTCATTTGAAATCTCCTTGAGGGGTAAAAATTGCTTGGAAGTCAAGTCACTTTCACAGACAAAAATTCAGACACCTCAGATGACCTGTAACTTGCAAGGACCATAACTTGAGTTCTATAAATCTCCTTGAGGTCTTCCACCACTCAAATTAAAGGTCTTGAGATCCTCTACAAGTTTCATG